AAAAGACTCCCCCTCTCCACTTTAAAAAAAAATTAACAAAATGCACATGCACAACCCTGTAAGCGCTCCCGGGATGTAGCGCCTATTAAACGCGTGCAGGAGCATGCGCAAGCCCATTTCTCCTCGTGCAAGCTCTGTTTAACAGTTGCTGTTTGCATCGCTCATACAAGCTTACTTTTTAAAAGAAGATTTGCAATCTTTCCACTATGTCAGAATCACCACCGGTGAGTGAAAATGGGGGCGAACATTCTGTCTTATATAACAGTGATTGACAATTAGGAGGACCACTTATTTTGATGATCTATACAGAAAAAGAACATCCTCCATGATACCTTCAAAGAAAATAAATTGATTTAAGAAGAAATATAATTTTTTGTATGTATTTTAGGGGGTTTCCAGTCTCAGGCGGCTATATTTTGGGATCACATGCTGGAATGCACTGGAGAAGGGCTTCCCAACACGGGGGTCGTAAAATGTCCAAAGCAATGTATGAATAAATCATTAATTATGGAGATATTTTATTCATATTGATTAAAATATTACAGTAAATTCTAAAATGCACAACTAAATAATTAAATAATCCATTAAATTATTGAAAAAATAAATTATTAATTAATTATTAATTTGCAAGTCTATTGCATGGTTATTTTGGGGTTACACGCTAGGTTTACTTCCTTATATCTACCTGCTTTATAATGGTGAGACAGTTAAAATAGGACCATGCATGGTTTGAAAAATATTAGCCCTAGATTACTCCTACTGTATATAGCTATTACTACTGATAATAACACAACAAAATCTGCAGAGAATCTCTGTTATGTGTCTGCATCTCATCTAAATGAGAATCAAACACACTCCAACAAAGCAAAGTACTGATAACTAATGAATTTAAAGGCATCGTTTTTAAAGGGTTTCAATTTATAATGGACAGAGATTAAAAAAAACAAAAAAAAAAAAACAGAATTAACCGTAATAAAGCAGATGCCTCTTGGTTTGGCTACACTGAGGCCCCTGTAGTAGATGTAACTGCCAGCAGAGAAAAATCCCAGAGATCCTTGGTTCTTCAAGGCATAAATGGAATCTACTGCATCCCATTTGGACTCAGATGACCAAATTCCCATACAGAAAAATATCCATTAAGGAATCATCAGGTAAATTTCAAGGTTGTCTATAAATGTCAGAGGTTTCAGTTTAATTGAATTAGGTCCCCCTTAATGAGCCAGGATATTATCATTAACTAAAACTAAGGAAATAATGAAAACTAGAATGAAAAAAAATGTCAACTGAAATAAAAATAAAACTAGACCGTGCAAAAACAATGTGAACAGACTGTAATAATAGTTAATAAAAATAATTAGAACGGAACTGAAAAGTCGTAGGGAAACGGATGCTCCAAGCGTTACATTTCCGAATTCTCCTGAGTGGTGCCCGACTTTAGTCGAGTGAATAAGCATCTTGCTAACCAGTTAGCAACTTAGTGCTAGTAGGTTCCCAATGGGAAA